CACAATTCTTTCCCCTTTTGAGTGCAAAAATAATTTACAATTAAAAAGTATTTGCCATTTTGCTCTGCCTAAATCATGCTCCCCTTTTATTCCTGAATAGTTTCAGTTGTCATTTGTTTCTTTCTGTTTTTCCAAACAGCTCATTTGCTTTGGTTCTACAGAATATTTAAATGAGAATTTACAATCGTGTCTCACAGAAACCAAGAGGGCATGCTGATGCACAAAACTGTTCCTTACCTCCAACTAAAAATAAACATGCTCCTTTGTCTTCCTTTGGTAGTTGCCTTTGCAAGATCTTGCTGGCCGGTTCTCTCTATACTGAAACTTGTACCGCTTACACCATAAGTTCTCAAAGGTCTCCGTGACACACAGAGCGTTCTCATTCTTTTTTTAAAGAAACAAGTGAAAACTTGCTACCACAGCGATAGCGTTTTGACTGTCAAATGGGACGTCATATATGAGACTGCCTAAAGCTTTATTTTTGAATCTTATCTATTACTATTTTCAACAACTTTTATTTTTAGCATTATGTTTTCTTGAAAGTAACGGTTTGCATTTTGCCATTTGCTTCATCCCTGCCAGTTATACCTGAAATGTCGTCTAAATATCACCATGATGTGGGAAGGAAATAGATCTACTTCTCTGCTCCTGAACTGTTTTTATCCTTCCATCCAGAGCCACATTTCTAGAGACCTTCCTTGTCTTTTCTTGAATTCACACGGCCAGATTTAGCCATCCTTTTTTCCTGACTCCCTCACACTTCCATCACTAGTAAAGGCACCGTGCTACTAGTACTACTCTTTATAACTAGTCAGGCACCTTTGGCGCCGTCCTTCCTTTCACTGTTCATTCCTCTGTTCATACTACTCTTCACCGCTCTCACTCAACTCCTGCTGCTACTTCATCCATAACAGTAAGGAATGACCTTTTCTCTTTCTAGACAGTAAAAGACCTTGTCTGGGCTCCTAGTGCCTGCCACAGCTTGCTTTCCTGCCTCTCTTCTATCTTTTACAATCCAGAGAACAAGAAGCTACTAAGATAATTTGTCTGTTTTTTGATAAAAATATAGGCGCACTTTCTTTTAACTCCGTGTACAGCTTTACATCTGCTTCACCAGAGTAAGCTTAGATGTCTCATTCTTGTCATTATGACTCACCTATTAACTTCAACTTTTTCTCTTTTCACTTTCCGAATGATATGACCTTCAGTTAATCTAAGTCTTCTACAATAGTTTGCAGATTTCTTTCAACATTATCTTGTAGGTGTGAAAAACTTCCCAAAATTGGCTTTCCAGGTCATTTATCTTTCCTCAAACTGCTCCGTAATAAGTACCGTTAGTATAGTATTCATATGAGGAAATAAAATAATTTTCAGGGAATTTTCGTGTGTATAGCTCTCAAGAGGTATGTTGAAACACTGACCTCTGCCACGTGTGTGCTTTTCTGAACCCCCACACAATCCTGACCCTGAAACAGTTGTGCCCTGTGAGAAGCTTGTTCCCGTAAGTAGTCCCAGTGACATCAACAGACTTAGTCAACTGAAGCTATTTATTTGTGAAAGGCATTTGCAAAATCCCTGCGGTATAAATACTGTGGGGTCTAGCATCACATCTGGCAGTAGCCTACATTTGGTCTTTTCTTCATCCTGGAAAAAGAAAAGAAACAGGAACTCTGTGAAGTCTGAGCAGACAGTCCCTGCTGCCGTTGATTGTCAAAGGACAGTGCTTAGATACTGGTGACGGTAGCACTATAAAAATCTCAGATAGCATCAGCTGGGGAGGTTTGGAGTCATATGGAATGTGTTTGACTTGCTTTTGTGTACTGTAAAATAATCCATGTAATTAATTTTGATTAAAAATATGCTTAGGTCCTACAGGTATTTTCTATAGTTAGGGGTGGTTGTAAAGAGGCTACGTGGATCTATCTTGCAGTATTTATTGGTAACGATGGTGAGCAAGGATGACAATTCAAAGACCACAGTCTAATCACTAGCAGGACTTAAGCTATGGGCCACATGAACAACTTGTCTACAAACAAATCTTTTACTTATGTATTTATTTTCTTCTTAGATAGAAGCACCCATCCCTTCAGAAAATCAGTATCTTGTTTTAAAACTCAGGTAATTTATCTTTACGAGGAATAAATAAGCTTACTAATGTAGCCATTCCTGTATCTTAATAAAATTAAAATTAAAATGTTTGTTTACAGGCAATCTTGTACATTATCAGTTTTTTTTTTTTTTTTAAAAGAAGTCTTTAGTATGGATTTAATGTGTGAAATTTTTTTATTATTTTTTATGTTAAAGTTAGATGCTGTTTATTTCTTCATGCCAGGGAACAAGTTTGTTTTTCTTAGTTTTTTTTCCCTCTTAAGTCTTTAATTTGTGGAAGTAAAGGTTTTTGGTTTAAAACCAAAATCATTACGAGTTCTTATTTATAAACACTTGAACAAAAAAATGTAATTAGTGGATGAATTAAAAAACACTTAAAAAATTAATGCAATGTCATAAAAAGTAAACAATGAGACCACTGGAAACCTACCTGAAATTAGGCTGTTCATCTGCACTATATTACAAGAACATGCAATAACAAACTACATAAAACATGGACAAAGAACTTGAGTTTTAGTAATCGTCAATGAAATTACTAACTTGAGTAGGATTTATTTAAGAGCAACTGAAGAGCGGGGGGGGAAACTATTATTTTCTTTGTTGCTGTTTGATATGTAGAATAGTTAAAGACCATTTGCTTGTATTATATTCCTAATTTGGGTCTCATATCATTCTCCGCCACACTTTCCTTTCCATTACTGGGTATTGTAGGCAACTGGAGAGGAAAATTTAGAAAACACTAAAAATGACACTTGATTAAATGTGACACAAGACAATCATTACTTATAGTGCCAAAGCTGGAATTTGTGCTAGCGAATAACCATGTCTAACTCAAATACGTGGAAAAATACGTTTTACCTAGAAATGAGTTGTCTTTGACATGAAATGTCAAACGCTGCTTCTTTCTGACACTGACAAAACTTGGCTGAACTCCAGTTCTGCTACTGGTGTAAGAAGGGCCAAACTCTCCATACCCAGAGCTGGGAGAGCCCTGTCGGAATCTAGTGCTCAGGCCGGTTGTATTCCTCGAGTAAATACTCTTAATCGGAGGTACTTGGAAGTACAGCAAAGTGGACATACTTTAAGACAAAATAAAACCAAGCAGCTGCTTGACATTCTAGCTTTGCTTTAGCCTCCTGACATCTTTGTTTCTTCCTCCATGTTTAGTTTGAAGCATAAGCAACACCTGCTGGTGAAAACAAAGTCTACGAAACTGCTGAGCCATCCTCCTTGAAGAACAGGTTTGATCATTACTGTAAGCTCGGGGTAAGTTGTTCTAGAATAAAATAAGCTTGCCTATCACTGTTTGGGCTAATTCTGTAAGGGTCAGTAACTGGTTCCTTCCCAGAGTGCTTATCAGCTCTGAACGGTGAAGGCTCAGTGTGACCCAGCTGATCTCCAGGAGCCTGGAAACCCCGTTCTGCGTCTGAGTTTTGGAATTGCAGCTTGCAAGTTAATACATTGGCAGAATTAATTAAGAAGTTCCTGTATCTTGCGACTACGGAAAAATGGTTATTTTGTTAATGTTATTGTTCATGTTCATTGATCAATTTTTAAAGAGAAGTAAAAGAAAACAGGGAATAAAACTTGAATACCCTTGAGTTGGGAAACATGTTCCACCACATACCATCTAGGATAATTATGCATGAGCAAGTGTCACTTGTGTATGATATCTGTAAGTGGAACAATTTCTGTTGTAAGTAACACTATTGTCAGAAGTCGGCAAGGGAACTTTCCTAGTTTGGTACTGTGAAGTGAATGATTAGACTGTAATGATTTCTCTTGTCTATGATCGCTGAACATAATATAAAGTCAAGTAACTGGCAAACTACTTAACGAGATGCTATCTTTTTTCAGTTTAAAAACAAAGTGAACTTTGCAGTGCAAGGATGTGGTCAAAATGTTTGACCGGTAGCCTGTCACAAACGCGAGCAGCAGCCCTTCAACTTCAGAACATTGACCCATTACAGGTAATTTAATTATGCTACAAGATTTTTAATTTAAAGAGTAGTTAACGTTCATAAGAATCCTGAAAATTGGCGAAAGCAGCACAGTGTGAGTATATTAACATTTCTCTCCATGAAAATGGATCTGAATCATGTGTTAGACCCCACATTTTCATGAGAAAATCAAGCATAATAAGTCATCTCTACTTGAAAGATCCAGAAGAGGAATGCTGACAACTGGAAATACCATTTGGAGGGTAAGCAGCATGTGGAAGAAACGTGAATTCTGCAGTTTCTAATTCTGCACAGTATTGTTAGCTTTCTCTGGGTGATTCTCAGTTTCAAAATATTTCTATAGGAAGAAAATAATTTTTTCATGACAAGGGATGTTCTTTTATTCCAGAAATAGAAAGGATACTTCATCAAAGGGTTTGTTGTACCCTAGGCGTCGTTTAGTGGTAGGATGGATAACTGATGCCGCAGTGTATTTACAAAGAACTGTACTATTTTAATGCGGAAGGATGTGTTTTTTGGTTGGTTAATACATAATTGCTTGACATATTTACAAGTGTCAGATTGTGTTCTCTGTTTGTAAGACTTGTTGCCAAAAAGGAGGGGAGTAATATGGCCCGAAGTACTCCCCTGACTCTGGCGTGCCAGGCTGTAGCAAGCGATTTCCAGACTATGGCAGTTTGGCTACTTTGTCAGCTTTGCTCCTTACCCGTTCGGGGCTTTTAGGGCATCTTTGTGCCGCTTTGATTCTCCTAGATGAACTAAGGAGGCTAAAAGTCTCTCCCTAGGGTGAGTCTAGGCTTTGTTTGGCTGACTGATAGGTGTAAAAAAATAAATACATCGCAATTGTAACTGAATGTATTTGATTTGTGTGTTTGAAAACATTTTCCCTCTTGCTAATGCAGGCCCAGTCTTTGCAAGACAGAGTTCCTGTTCGGTGTGACAGTGAAGAGAGCGGGGCATGATGGATCGGATTTGTCAGACGAAGAATGCACGTGGTAAGAACACTGGTCTTGGTGGAAATTTTCTTTTGGCCTAAATTCTATCTATCGCTCTGCGTACGTAATTTAGCTAAATGGCTGTGATGCTTGTTTGTGTTAGAGATTTGTTACTATGAGGTAAGTACAAACAAACTCCATTCAGTCATTAGAATAGATGCTAATCTTAATTTATTGCGAAGAAAAGTAAATTGCAAAAAAGATGTCTAAGTAAGATTAAAATCATGACAAGGAAAGCTGCCATTGAGCACAGAGGGAGAACTTTTTCCACGGAATCAGATTGCTGAAAACACGCTCCATGTCTGTATTAAAGCTTAAGCTGAATTGCTAAACAACCGTCATCCTTTAAGCAGCAATATTTGCTTTGTATCACCTGTGGAACACTCCTGTCAGTGGGAAACTCGGGCAGGTGAGCTTTAATCTGCCTGAGCGGATCAGGCTCCCGCTGGTTAGGATCCAAGAGTCGTTACGAACAGTGAAAAAATTGTTATGAATTTTAAACAAAGTATTTAATATTTATTGTTATTTTGTGTCTATCCTTTCTCCTTCTCCAGACCATGACTGTTACAGGAATGAGTTTCATTTGATTATTTAACTCAGGTATTTTCGAGTTCCTTTTACAAAAAAATAACTATACACAATGTCTTAGAAGCCGTTTCTAATGGAACGAACGCGGGACCGTTCCGGATTTTAGCGAAGTCGTGTTTCACGTGCTCTGCAGAACTTGGGCTTGAACTTGACTTTTAAAGGGGAGCTCTCGGGGGGGAGCGCCCCGACTTCAAAATTGGAATAAATACGTTTCGAAGCCAGTTTTAAACGACTTTGACAATTCGCAGGTGCCGCGGAAAAACCCGTCGGACGTTTGGCGGTGCGAAGTTGCAGCGCGGAGGCGAAGCGCAGCGGA